ACCTCTCCGGAGGCGGCAGTACTCGAGGTACCTCTCCTGCAGCTGCTGGGAGGAGAGGGCTCCTCCAGGTGGAGCACGCTCAGGCTCAGCACCCCCAGACTCAGCACCCCCAGTCTCAGCACCCCCAGACTCAGCACGTCCAGACTCAGTACCTCCAGGCTCCGCACCTCCAGGCTCCGCACCTCCAGGCTCCGCACCTCCAGGCTCAGCACCCCCAGGCTCCGCACCTCCAGGCTCAGCACCCCCAGGCTCCGCACCCTCAGACGCAGCACTCCCAGGCTCAGCACCCCCAGACGCAGGACGCGAGTCAACAGCTACCTCGACAGGCTCACCCGGGTCTACTTGGGACACACCTGAGGGAGCGGCACCCTGAGGGGGGAGGGGGTCTGGTACCTCAGCACCTGGAGCGAGGAAGAGAGGCGGGGGGGGGAGCGGGGCAGTGCGGTAGGGGAAGAGGCGGTAGAAGGGGACGGACTCGTCAAAAGTGACGTCCTGAGAGGCCAGAACCCGGCGCGAGGTGACGTGGTAAAACTGCCATCCAGGCGCGTCAGGAACAAAGCCAAGAAAGACACAGGGAACAGCGCGACGCGAGAGCTTGTCCGCGGACGTGTCGCGGACAAAAGCTCGAGATCCCCAGACCCGGAAACGCGACGCATCGCCAACCTCTCCCGTCCACCGAAGAGTCGGGGAAGTCTCCGGCAAGGAGACACGGGGCCAGAGGTTGAGCTGATGCGCGGCGTACCGGACCGCAAACGGCCACAGAAAGTGGGGAGCAGCCGCATGGGTCAGGGAGGTACGAGCGACCTCCATGACCAAGCCAATGCGGCGCTCAGCGACCCCATTCTGCTGTGGAGAGGCCGGAAGCGTGAACGACTGCTCAATGCCGTGCTCAGCACAGTAGGCTGCCAAGAGGTCGGAGGCGAACTCACCACCTCTGTCAGAGTGCAAGCGCAGGACAGGAAAGTCCGAGTGAAAGCGCTTGCCTAGCTGGAGACGGGCTCGGCTGATCCAGGGGATCAAAACACCAGGGACGTCACCCTTGGAGCGCAAGGGGAAGACCGTGGTGTAGCGCGAGTAGTCGTCAACAACTATCAGGAAGTACCTCTCCTGACCCTGACCACGGACGCGGGCTGGGCCCCACACGTCCATGTGGAGCGTCTGCAAGGGAGCAGTCGTCGGGGGAAAGGAGGAGGAGTGAGGAGCGGCGCGCTGCCGCCCCTCAACACAGGGAATGCAGTCAGGAGCAGGGGAGTCGGGAAGGGGAGGGAGCACCCTGGGAAGACCAGCAACAAGGTCCCGTTTGTGCATGGCCCGAAGGCGCTGCACAGACGGGTGACCAAGGCGGTGGTGCCAGAGGACAGTCTCATGCGCCAGAGAGCGACATGAGCAGGGGGCGGACAGCTGACCTGACGCAGACGCAGACGCAGACGCAGCTACCTGAGGGGACTCAGTGGTCAGTGTGTACAGGTCCGACCCCGGCTCCCGAGTGAAAGTAGCCAGGTGGCGGCCCGTCCGAGCACACGTGCAATGTGTCACACGCTCGTAGGCAGGGGTGAACTGGTGAACACCCCCGTCCTGCAGAGCACAGCCCGCCACCAAGTTCGTAGAGAACGAGGGGAGGTAGAGACCTGAGAGCGTGCCGGACGGAACCGCTGGACACGGAAGTGTAGTGGAGGAGGTCGCAATGACCGGACCCCCAGAGGGGTCAGCAAGAGAGACAGCAACCGGCCGAGCTAGTGGCTCAAGGACAGTGCGGTCACGAAAGAAAGAGCGAGAAGCACCTGAGTCCAGTGTGAAGGTGTGCAGTGCAGCAGTCGACTCAGTACCAGGGGGCACAGACGCACTAGCACCTAGGGCAGCTGCTGCAGCAGGACCTGTGGGAGCAGACACACTAGCACCTAGAGCAGCAGCTGGGCTGGCCTGAATGCCCGGGTCGGGCGGAACACGCAAGTACTGAGCACCCTCTCCACTAATAGACATTGCATACATGGCAGTGAGAATAGCATCAAAGTCTAGAGCCCAGATATCAACACCCCTCTTTTCCAGATCAGCCCAGCGCGGCAGCTCAGTGGCGTCAGGAAACTGGGTGCGCCACGCGTCGTTGAGGCGCGCGAAGCAGCGCTGCGTCTGGTGCGGCCTCCCACACGTCTGGCCAGTGCGGTCGCCTGTGCGAATAACATACGTGCAGGTAAAACCGCGCTGCGCATACCACTCACGGGCGGCCTGAAGCGTCGGGGAAGGCTGCTGACTCTGGCCTCCGCCCGTGCCTCCACGACCACCACCTCCTCCGCCTCCGCCCCGGCCACCTCCACCCCTGCCGCTGCCACGACCACCTCCGCCTCCGCCGCCGCCTCCGCCCCTGCCACCACTCCCACCGTTGCTGTCACCTCCCCCACTACCGCCACTAGCCTCCCCAGTCGCGCCTCCACCGCCACCACCTCCACCCCCGCCTCCTCCGCCGCCACCCCCACCCCTGCCCCCCTTGCTCCTGCGGCGCCCGCCCGAAGCAGACGCAGTCCCGACCTTCTCAGCACCAAGGAGGTCGACAGCAGCAGCAGAGGCGACAGAGGGGAGGAGGGGGGAAGGGGAACACCCCTCAAAGAAGGGGCCGCGAGGGTCGCCACGAGAGGTGCCTACAGCGACGATACTGGCCTCAGCTGCAAGCAGTTCCTTCTCGAGGAGGGCTACGGTGAGCTCGGTGGGGGAGCGAGAGAGGAAGTGGTCCCTGACTGCGCGGAGAGAGTCAGGGAGGCGCGTGACGATGTGGTAGAGAGTGATCCAGAGCGGGGGGGGGTTGCTAGCGAGGAACTCGTCAGGCATGGCAGCGCGAAAGCGGGCCTCACTAGTCTTAAGGTGGGTGATGAGGTCTGCGACAGTGTGAAAGGAGGCCAGGTCGGGGAACAGGTAGGGGAGAGTGAGGCGGCCTAGCGTGGCAGAAGCGGGTGAGGAGTAGCGGGCAACGACAGCGGTGTACAGTTCCTTAGCAGTCTTGCACTGGCCGAAGTGCTCGCGCTCATCTAGCGGCAGGGAGTTGCGTATGGCGAAGCGAGCGTGCGCGTCACGGGTCTGCCACTGTGAGCGCTCAGTGGGGGTAGCAGTAGTAAGAGGGGCAGTAGCGTGGCCGAGAGCATGGTCGTACAGAGAAATATCCTCCTTGGCCGTGAGCTGTAGGAACAGGTGTAGGTCATCGAGCCAGGTGTCGAACTTCACCGGACGGCCCTCGGCGTCGAAAGCTAGAACGGGAGGGCTAGCCATAGCGATAGTAGCAGTAGCAGCAGTAGTAAACAAAGTAGAGCCGCAGTAGCTGTAAAGACGCACTAGCAGGAGTCGCAGGGGCGCACGGGATGCGGTGGTAGGCTGCAGTAGCGGCGTGCGGTGGCGGCTGCAGGTGCGGACAGTCAGTAGCGGCGGGCCGGCAGCGAGCGCGTGCGGTGGCGGCTGCGGGTGCGTACGGGCGGCAGCGGCGGGCCGGCAGGCGAGGGCGTGCGGCGGCAGCTGCGGGTGCTCACGGGCGGCAGCGGCGGGCCGGTAGCGGGTGCGTGCGGCGGCGGCTGCGGGTGCGTACGGGCGGCAGCGGCGGGCCGGCAGCGGGTGCGTGCGGCGGCGGCTGCGGGTGCGCACTAGCGGCAGCAGCGGGCCGGCAGCAGGCTGCGCGCGGGCCGGCAGCGGGTAGCGGGCGGTTCGCGGGCGGCGTGCAGGCCGCGCGGGCGGTTCGCGGGCGGTTCGCGGGCGGTTCGCGGGCGGCGCGCAGGCCGCGCGGGCGGTTCGCGGGCGGTTCGCGGGCGGTTCGCGGGCGGCGCGCAGGCCGCGCGGGCGGTTCGCGGGCGGTTCGCGGGCGGTGCGCGGGCGGTTCGCTAGAGGGCCAACGGGGCCGGTAGGTGCGATCGCAATCGACGGGGCCAGCGGGGCCGGGAAAAAAAAGGTAGCGCTCGCGAGGGCGCTACGGGGGAGACGCTAAGAACGCGCTCCGGTAAGTAGGTAGGTAGGTAGGTATCGTACGGTGGGCCCTGAGAACAGTCCTAGCGAAGGACCTGCTCTGAAACCATGTCAGAATAACTGAGCAGGAATGAAATGAACTAGCACAGAGTTTGGTACAAGTAGGAAACCCTAACTTTGTGTACCCCCTAAGGTGTAACCCACTACAGCCTACACAATATAAACATACAATGTTTGACACGCCCACGACATAGGACTTTCGCATCTCGCCCTGCTCCCAGCCGCCGAGAGCGTTGATGTCGGGGTCGGGACAGCGATCGTCACTCAGGCCTTGGGCTCCCGATCGGCGAAACGCATGGGTCTTTTTGCTAATCCGCCAGGGCGGTCGCGCTACGTCGTTCATGACCCAATTAATCCAGTTGTTGTGAGTCACGTACGGAAGCTCTTCCTGCAGTTGTTCCCTTCCGTGCCTCAATGGGAAGAAAATGTGCTTCTTAGACCACTGAAGGGGGTCGCTGAAGTCCAGTGGCGGAATGATGTCCGCTCCGAATCGCAGTGGCACGAGGTCGTAGACGAAATGAATCCACAGAAAAAGACCACTTACACCGCAGAGCGCGAAGTTGATGTGCCGGGCCAAGAATTGGTGGGTCAGCCTGTTGGTCGCATTCGTCTTGGACTTTCGAGAGGCGAAAACCACCACAGGGAGATCCTTCTGGCGGTCGGGGACGGCCGTGCTGCTACGCGTGTGGCGGACAAACATGTTCGCGAATCATAGAGCACGAATGCTGCATCCCCTCCCCAACATTTGGTGTGCGAGTTGAATCATCACCTGCACCGCAAAACACCGCCAGAGACTTTCTGATAGTGCAACCCTGGCTCTCTGGTAGCACTCTTTGATCTCCCTCAGAAAGTGCTTCTCGTGCAGGTCCGCGTACTGCTCCGACGTGTAGCAATCGTCCAGAGAGTTTCGGTGCTGATCCTTGCCCTCCCTGCATAGACCAACGTGAAACGTGCTTAGGCATCGAATTTTCGAGAATCTGTTTGGCCATGAAGTGTGTAAATACTCACGCAACCTGCTTGTCGTGCAGCTGTTTCAGCTTGAGCTTCATGTACTCCCGCGATTCGCTGATGTACTCATCTGCTTGGGCCTTCGGGTAGTCGTAGAGTCGAGCTTCAAGTCTACCCAGGAAGCCCAAAGCGCTCATCTTTGCCTTCATCATGCTCGGCGTACTAGGGATGGGCTCCTTTCCAGCCACCACTTCTTCGCCTCTCCGCATCATCTCGGCCTGCGCGGGGGTTTCCTCTGCCATGTACCGCAGGAACCTCTGAATCCTCCATCCAGTAACACGGGGCCCGTGGAGATAAACTTCATCCAAATCCACAGTTGACCATTCCGCCTTTTTGTCGTTCCCCAGATGGCTTCCAACCTCGTCAGGATTCAGCGGGTCCAGACGCTCCGCCGCCGGAACCTCAGTCTTGGGCAGCGTTGACATGAACATGATGACCCACCACTTGTAGTGCAGCCAATACAGGATGTAGTCTTTTCTGGTTTTCGCCGCGAGATAATCGTAGGGGACCTTTGCGCGGCGAATCCTGCTGGCCACGTCGGCCTGTTTTCGAACTGACTCGTGCGTAGCTGATGCTGGCCCATCTGCATTTCTCTGAGGCGCGGCCTGCGATGCTTGCCCCTCCGCATTTCCCTGTGGCGCAACCTGTGGTTCTTGTCCCTCAGCATTTCCCGCGGGCGCAGCCGACGATCCGACACCATGTGCACTTCCATGGGGCGACGCCTCTGATTTTGGGCCGTTCACATTGCCACGGGCCGATTCCACAAAAAGAATTCGACAGGTGGCATTATCTTCAGAGGTTGGGCTTCGGCTAGCATTTTCCTCCCAATTCTCCTCAAACAACGCTCGGTGGGGGTCCTCGTCATCGTCCGCGAGATTAATGAACACCCCCCTCGGAATTCCGCCCCTCGGAAATCCGCCCTCAGTCACATTTCCCTCGACCCCGACTTCAGGGTTCGAGGCCGGAAATTCCTCCTGAGCATCCAGGAACACATCGCCCCCAACAGCTGCCTCGAATTCCCCGTCCGCATCGCGGTCCCCGGTTAGATCAATCGGGGCATTGGGCAGTTGGCAGTCTGGAAGATCATGATACTCCTCATTGAGGTCGAAATCGAGAGCTGCGCTAAGAAAATTACCCGTACCGCCTTCGCCCGCCATCACGGTGTACCTGTTTCAGAGGACTCTATGCTCCACATGTGCGCGAAACCTGTCCTGAAAGGGTTATTTTCGACAAGCGAAATCTAAAATGCCTCGTCGGGAATGGGATGGACTGCCAGCAAGCCCAGGAGCATGTTGTGCTGAAAAGAGACTCGTGATCGGAGTTGTTACGGGGAGAATAAACTATGAATGTGACCCTTCTGAGTGGAGAACAATGATGATCTGAAATGGATGTTCGATTTAGAGTTCTTTAGCGTCTCGAAAATGCCCCCATTTTTTAGAGTAGAGAAAAATTCTTCGCTGGCTCAACCCTCGGCGTGTGCGCAACTCTGAAAGAAGCAATCAATCATGCCATGCTGGATTGAAGGTATGGAAGCAAGGAGGGTGATGTTTTCCCCTAACATGTGTTAAAGTTTGAAGGAGGAATCAAGAAATGACATACAACGGAGAGCTATTTAAGCATTCTGGGACTCAGCCACATGAACATGAGCACCACAACCTCTGACTGCATCCCTTCTTCCCGCCACAGCTTCTCTAGATCTGGTCGCCAGACCCCAGATCTGGGGTTCTTCCCGCCTCTGTCAGAGCATTCGATTGGCTGGCTCCTCCACAATGGCGTAACTCTGAGCAACACCCCTCCCGCAGAGAACGAGTAACTCTGCCACGTGGAACACGGTCGGCGCGCAGTGTAAAAGAATGTAAATACACTTGATTTTCAATTTAAATCTATACACCGGTTGGTGTCGAGATGTGAGATTTTAAAAAACAAGCTTAAAGAGGCTTGGTTCATTTTACGAATCTGTTAAAAATACCATGTCGCGATCGAAAAATCCGGTAAAAAGCTGTCTCCTTGTGGTCCCGAAAGTTTATCACGTTTCCGAAATTTCTAATCATTTGTACCAGGCCCTCAGATATCAGGATAAATTATCCTGATTACCCTGATTTCAGGATAGAGTTGGGGTGCCAGTGCTGGAAAATCAGGATAACATAAAATACAGCCCTGAACTTTCAGTATTAGGCTGTATCCTACACTGAGGAATTAAGATAAAGGTGTACCTGTAACACTGAACAGTAGCACAGAAATGTCTTATAACAAGAAAATCACGTTCGTTCACACAGTTCGCTATGCGCGACGCAAGCGGGAATCGATCTCCATACTTCCACTGTGACAATTCGCAGATTCAAACAACTAGGCCATGACCGAGCTGAAAAATCAGGGAAATTATTACATCCAGTGCCGAAGCCTCAGGTTAGGTCAGGGTACCCTGAAACCAATCTGAGGCCCTGATTTGTACTTAAAACCGTATTCTTAAAAATAAACGACTACTACCCTATAACCTGGTGTATAAAAAACAGTCGTTTCTCATTATGACACCAAAACAGCTGTTGTTCGTGTTGATGGGTGGACGCAAACTGCAACTGTGTTCGATATATGCAGTGTAGAAAACGTCTGTCGTTATTGAAAAAAACAATCTGCTCGTCTGTCTCTTAGCGAATGGCCAAGGTACATATTGCGTTTCATAATTCCGAATTAGGCGGAGGATCGTGCAAATAACGAGCTTGCACCCATGCGGAAGTAGACGTAATCTAGTAAAACGTGTGCAGTTTTCCAAATTTCACTGTAAACAAATGTCTAACACGAAGCTCAATATCGAGTTTCTCGATATTGCAGTTTTCACATACTGGTTGCGACGTGCTCGCAGAGATCACGTCGCAACCCGTTTGCGCGAAAAGTGCACGTCAATTGACGGCTGCACTTTGACATTGGCGAGAGCACGTGCTTCGCCAGCTACATTGCACGCACGAATCTGCTCGGGCAGAGCACAGTTTCACGGGCAGGCCGAGCCTAGCCCTTGGGGCGGTGGGGGTTGTCCTACTCGGCGCAGTCTTGCGCCGCTTCCGCTTGGGTCGAGTCCCAGCTCGACCCAAGCAGCTGGACCCACGTTTTTTCCCAGGCAAATCCGCTCGACCAGCGCCAAGAGCAATATAACTTCCCCGTAATGTGGCTGAGGAAATACACGGCCTAGGCTGAAACTAGCTTATCCACATTACTGGTATGTGACGAACTGGTAAGGCAGGTGATATCTTACAAAACAACCAAAGCACAGAACCTTACCAGGAACAGCCCAACTAACTGCGCACTGACACAGCTGCATGCTCTCCTGCTGGAAAGGATAGTGAACTGGGGGGATTCATAAGCATTCATACAATACTATTTCTCTGGATCCATTGCAGCCCACATACATCCATCGCACCAAGAATATCATCCGGCAATGGAGCCGTAAATGTAACTGGTAACTTTGTAACTGGATGTTCAAACGTCAACGTATGTGCATGTAACGCTTGCCTGTGTAACACTCCAACCTTCTCAATCTCCCCACTCCAACCCAACCCAACCCTCCACACCGCAAAAGTTTCCACAACCCTTTTCACACCCAATTCACCACCATCCCTTTTCGAATAACCACTTCCGCCCCAGCTCTCTTCACCCCCGCTATACCGCTCCTCACTTAAAGAAGAGTCCCCGTTAGGTTGATCAGAGTGTGTCTCCTCAAGTTGGCTGTACCACTCTCTACAGTGCTCGCCCCACATGAGAGGCAGGGCGCCATAGATATGGTCTGCTAGCACAGGCAGCTTGGCGTGCTGCAGATGCACTCTGATCTGGTGCGTTCTCCCTGTTACTGGGACAGCTTGTAAGAGGGATACCCTGGTGGGCCAATAAAGAAGGGAAGGGGTGGGGGGAAGGGGAGAGGGAGGGGGGGAAGGGGGCGGAGAGGGAGACAGGTACTTGGATCAGACTTGTGCGTTTGAGCACGAGTGCAAGGTGACGGTGGAGCAATGCAATGGAGAGGGGTGCAAGGGAATGCAGAGGGGTGCAAGGGAAAGCAGAGGGGTGCAAGGGAATGCAGAGGGGTGCAAAGCAATGCAGAGGGGCGCAATGCAAGGCAGAGAGGGGTGGAAGGAGATGCAGAGGGGTGGAAGGGCCATACCCAAAGGCTTCACTCCTTGCAAGCACACGGAACTCTGTCCTTGCCGCCAAGCATGGCACAGCGGTGCAAGGTAGTGAAAATGGCTGGAAAGCAGTGCAGAGGGGTGCAACGCAATGTAGGGGACTCTTCACACAAGGGGCGTACCCGGAGGCTTTACTTCTTGCAAGGACACGGAACTCTGTCACTGCTGCCTGTGTCTTGCCCTCCTTCTTCATCCCACTCTCTCCTACACTCTCTCCCACTCCCTCACCCCTTCCACCCGTCTCCTCCCCTGTCCCCTCTCTCATCGCTCCAAGCTCCTCTGCCTCATCCTCTTCCATCCCTTCTCTCTGCTCCTCTGCATTTCCCTCTCCCCTCCTCTCTCCAACCTCCTCTCCCACAACCATCCGCGCAAACTCATGGTCAGGGTCTCGTGCAATGGGGGCATCGATAACAAACGAGTCTGAGGGAGGAAGCCCCACCACGAGCACCAGATACTGCTTCGCCACCTGGGAGGAGCAAGGGGGGTGGGTGGGCGGGCGCAACACACACAGGCGGCAGCGTGTAAACTCATGGTCAGGGTCGCGTGCAATGGGAGCATCGACAGTGAAAGAGTCCGAATGAGGCAGTCCCACCACGAGCACCAGATACTGCTTCGCCACCTGGGAGGGAGGGGCAGAGAGAATAAGATATAAAGCACAGAGAGCAGAGGAGAAATACACAAAGAAGGCAGCTCATCGTCAGAGTCTCATGCGATGGGGGCATCAATAGAGAAAGAGTCTGGAGGAGGCAGCCCCATCCCCAGCACCAGATACTGCTTCGCCACCTGGGAGGGAGGGGGAACCAACACACACAGAGGACAAGGGAGCAACAGACAAGGGGCAGCAGATAAGTCATGGCTCACCTGGTCCTTGGTGCGAAACGCCTGCTGGAGAGCTTGGGAGATGGGACGGGTCTTGGCAAAACACATGACTCCTCTGGTTCCCCTGTTCTGCCACACCCGATCTCTCCCCCACCCCATATTCCCCACCTGCTTGCTTTCATACCTGGTCCTTGGAGTAAAACGCCTGGTGGAGAGCTTGGGAGACAGGGCGAGTCTTGGCGAAGCAAAAGACTCCGCTGGTTACCCTGTTCTGCCACGCCTGATCTCTCCCCCACCCCATATTCCCCACCTCCCCTCCCTTCCTACCTGGTCCTTGGAACGGAAAGCTTGGTGGAGAGCCTGGGAGACAGGGCGAGACTTGGCGAAGCAAATGACTCCGCTGCTTTCTTATCTGCTCTGCCCTATCCCTGCTGCACACCTTCCCACATCTCACCTGGTCTTTGGTGCGAAACGCCTGGTGGAGAGACTTGGCGAAGCAGATGACTCCGCTGCCCCACCTGCTCTTCCCCACCTGCTCGTCCCCACCTGCTCCCTCCCACTTCCTCCCATGCCTCACCTGGTCTTTGGAACGGAAGGCCTGGTGGAGAGCCTGGGAGATGGCGCGAGTCTTGGCGAAGCAGATGACACCACTGGTGAACATGTCTAGTCGGTGCACTGTAAATGGATCAGCCTGCAGGTAATGGGCCTGCTTGGGTTGGGGGTTTGGGAAGTAACGGGAGGAAGTTGGAGAGTGGGGGGGGTGTGGGGCGAAGCAAATAACCCCACTGGTGAACATGTCTAGTTGGTGCACTGTGAAGGGGTCGGCTTGCAGGTAGTGCGCCTGCGTGGTTGGGTGCGGTGTGCGCAGGTGGGGAAAGGTATGGTGCGGGGACAAGGAAGGCAAATGACGCTGCTGGTGAACATGTCTAGTCGGTGCACTGTGAAGGGATCGGCTTGCAGGTAGTGCGCCTGTGTGTGGGTGTGGCATGCGCAGGTAGGGAAAAGGCAAGCACATGGCTCCGCTGGAGAGCATGTCTAGTCGGTGCACTGTGAAGGGGTCAGCCTGTAGGTAGTGCGCCTGTGTGTGGGTTGAAGTTGATGGTATTGTGTGCAAGGCAAGGGAAAAGAATGGAGCGGGGACAAGGTGAAGCAGATGACGCCGCTGGAGAGCATGTCGAGGCGGTGCACTGTGAATGGATCGGCTTGCAAGTAGTGCGCCTGATGTGTTAAGGGAGGGGGAGGGGGGGGTTGATGCAGGGGTAAGCGAGAAATGCGTCTGTGGTGGTGTAACATGTTCATGGAAGCAAATGAGTCCGTTGGTGAGCATGTCCAGGCGGTGCACTGTGAAGGGATCGGCTTGCAGATAGTGCGCCTGTATGGTGGGGTAAGCAAGCAGTAAGGGGAACGGACGCATGTCACAGGGGAAAGGTGGGGTGAAGCAGATGGCTCCACTGGTGAGGCGAGCTGTCTAGAGGGTGCAGTGTGAATATGGGACGGCTTGCAGGTAGTGCGCCTGTGTGGTTGGGTGTGGTGTGAGCAATAAGGGGAACGGATGAATACAGCGGGGAGGGGATGCATGGGAAAGCCACTGGTACCACTCTGTTGACCAGCGTTGACTAGAGTTGACCAACTTTATTCACTGATTGACTCACCACTCGGTTGACCAATGCTCCCCCCACGAATCGGTGCAGTGGTTGATGCTTCACCCGTGCTGGCTAGTTCATCGCCTGGTACCGTTATATTGACCAGCGTTGACCTGAGTTGACCAGCGTTGACCTGAGTTGACCAGCGTTGACTAACTCACCACTCGGTTGACCAACGCTCCCCCCACGAATCGGTGCAACGGCGAATGCTTCACCCCTGCTGGCTTGTTCACCACCTAGTGTAGTTATTCGGGTTTAAGGAAATAGTTTAAGGAGAGGGATGAGGAGAGGGGTTGAGGATAGGGATCAAGAGTAGGGAATGATTGGAATGTTCCAGGTAATGTCAATTGATGAGAGGCCGTTTTCATGAAGCAACACGAGGAAAAAGGATGGGGTTCAACTGAAAGAATTGATCATGAGGATTAAGCCAGGGAAGAACAAGCTGAAAATCAGTCTTGTTGGGGCAAGGAAGGACAGGTATCCCAGAAGAAGTGACTTCTGTAAGGAGGTAAGATAGCCAATCACAAATCAGGGCGACTCACCAGTAGCCAATCATCTTCGTACAGCACGTCAAGCGGCTCGGCGTCTCGCACCAATGGCGGCCTCACCAGCTTCGCCTACCACAACTTCTTAGGTTTCGCAATACGAGACGCCACTTATTAAATACGAGTAACTAATCACACATCAGGGCGACTCACCAGTATCCAATCATCTTCGTACAGCACGTCCAGCGGCTCGTTGTCCCGCACCAATGGCGGCTTCACTTTCTTGGCCTGCCGCGGCTTCTTAGGTTTCGCATTCGCACTACGAGCTGACGCTCCTTGATTCGAGTCTGTAGTCATCTCGTTACAACCACCTGGCGAATCCCCTGTAACGAAATCGCGTTCGCTTGGATCATCGCCGACCAATGGCGGCTCTGCAGCGGGGCGTGTCGCAGGTGTTGACGAAACCCGTCCATCGTCCCCGCTCGGACCCTCGAAGCTTTCGCGATCCGTCGAGAGACCTATCGTAATCCGATTCCGAGCTTCGAATTCGACCGAAGGCGGGGACTGCCTTTGATTCGCCTCAGAAACAGACTCGACCTGGTCGCGATCAGTCGAAAGACCTATCGTAATCCGATTCCGAGCTTCGGATTCAAGTGAAGAGGGAATCTGCTTTTGAGGCGCCTCAGAAACAGACTCGACCGGCGGCGGGTCGCGATCAGTCGAGAGACCTATCGTGATCCGGTTCCTAGCTTCAACTTCAAAAGCTTCAACTTCAGCTGAAGAAGGAACCCGACTGTCATCATGCTCTGCTCGCGTTTGGACACATTCCGGAATTTCAGGGCCGGCAAGACGATAGGAGCCGTCGGATTCGGCATCTGCGCTCTCTCCAGCGCATGCAGCGGGAGCTCGGTGGACGACTCTCGTCGCGCGCAGGCACAGCTGCCGACCCTTCGATTGAGTCACAATCTGGCCGTATCTCCGGGCGCTGCGACGTACTAACGGGGTGTAATACTGCGAGGGATGCAAAAGCTGAGAGAGAGCCTTCAATACGGGAGCGTACATTGTCGCCCTAGTTGTCACCCCCGAATCAACTCAGAAGTCAGCAGGGAATTGCCGCGCCAGAGACGAGTGTGACGTGGCAACCTGTAACGGTCACTAATTCCATCCCAAGCGGCGCGGTTGCTGATGAGCGGTCACCAATCCCATCCCATACCCTCTGACAGTTGACAAAATGGCTGGAGTCAACAAAATGACCGTTGGGCGATGAGAAGGTAACATGGAGATTTCGTGAGGTAACCCGTCGCATAGCATGGTCAAGAGACTTCGACATGCGAAATCGAGAGTTACAGGATCTAACGGCTGAAGCTGCGCCATCGGAAAGGCTGTTAGTCGCAGCAAGCGAAGACGAACCACAAAGCACAGCATAACAGATTGACTCATTCTAACATGACCCGTTTGATAAAAATCAGAGACTGGGAGCCCTCATTCACTTTCTTGTACAGTCTTCAAATGTATAAACAGACACTCTTGATTTGAAACAATGTTCAACGGTTTATGCACCTGATTCATTGAGCACAACCTTGAAGCAACTTGTCACAACATGAGGGGCAAAATATTTAAACTACTGATCGAGTAGTGAACTTCCCCAGTATTAGTTAGGTGCCCCCATGCATCTCCTTCCCAAGCTTTTGAATCTGCACAGGGAGAAGGTTTATACAAAAAGCAAAAGGGTAATTGCAATCCCCTGAGCTGACACTAGACTGGAGTTTGATAAGCCGCACAAATGGTACCCCTAACGCACACACGCAGTACATGGGCACATCAAACAAATATCGTATGATCACATCCTACAAACACATCATATCATCAGATCCCACACCATGCCAAGCCGAGTCTTGAAAGGTTTGCCACGCGATAAAAGAAGTGTTCTGAATGTACCAAGATATCTCACACCCAGAGACACATCATACGATCACATCCCACGCCATGCCGAGTCTTGCAAGGCCCTGCATCGCCATGCATCTGCAGTATCGATGCAATGCCATGCCATGCCATGCCATGCCACTCCTCATGCCAAGCATGCCACCAATTCGTATTGCGTTGCCCTATCATCCCCTTCCCCACCTCCCCCTTCTCACCTGATCAACCAGCATGTCGATCTGCTCGCGATACATCTGCTTCACATCCATCATGCCATGCCATGCCACACCATGTAGCGTCATGCCCATCCCACCATCCTCTTCCCCCCATCTCCCCTTCTCACCTGATCAACCAGCATGTCGATCTGCTCGCGGTACATCTGCTTCACATCCATCAGGTCTGCCCTCAGTTCCTCCACCTGCCATGCACCATCACATGCACAACATGACAACCATCACATGCACAACATGACAACCATCACATGCACAACATGACAACCATCACATGCACAACATGACAACCATCACATGCACAACATGACAACCATCACATGCACAACATGACAACCATCACATGCACAACATGACAACACACAAGGATACACTATGTCAGGTGGTTTGTATTGAAATCTCTTGCTCTCCCTTGATCTCTAAACACCTCCTCCACCCTTCCCCTAGCGCCCACCATCTCTCACCTGCTCGTCTCTCTCCCCCATCAGCTCCAGCGCAGAAGCATGTCGCCTCCTGATCGCCTCCAGCTCTGCCTTGAGCCCCGGCAGCTGAGTCACCTCACTGCGCAGGCTCTCACACTGCGTCGTGGTCTTCACGAGTTCCTCAGCCAGAGAGTCGCGAGTGCTCTCTAGGGCAGCCTGATGGGAGGCAGGGAGACAGGGCAGAAGAGGAGAGGGATATCAAGGCAGCTGAGTCACTTCACTGCGCAGGCTCTCACACTGCGTCGTGGTCTTCACGAGTTCCTCGGCTAATGAATCGCGCGTGCTCTCGAGGGCAGCCTGGTGCGAGGTGAGGAGAGAAGACAGGGGCAGAGAGGGCAGGGATCTCAAGGCAGCTGAGTCACCTCGCTCCGCAGGCTCTCACACTGCGTGGTTGTTTTGACCAACTCCTCGGCTAGAGAGTCGCGCGTGCTCTCGAGGGCAGCCTGATGGATGGGAGGGAGAGGAGACAAGGGATAGGAGGAGAGGGATCTCAAGGCAGCTGAGTCACCTCGCTCCGCAGGCTCTCACACTGCGTGGTTGTTTTCACGATTTCCTCTGCTAAAGAGTCACGAGCGTTCTCTAGAGCAGCCTGATGGGAGGAGGAGATACAGGGGCGAAGGGGGAAGGGGTTTCAAAGCAGCTGAGTCACCTCAATCCGCGGACTCTCACATTGTGCCGTTGTGTTCATGAGTTATTTAGCAAGCAACAAAAAATTTCACCAGTCTCGCAGTGTGAATCGCGATCTCTCCATCCTTCTGCCACAGCAGCGACTCCAAATGCTTCACAGCAGCAGCATTCATTCAGCACACTTGGCTGGCTGGCCTGCAGCCAAAGGTGCTTGCACACCAGCACTAACACCTATACATGAGCATCTCACCAGTCTCGCAGTGTGTATCGCAATCTCTCCATCCTTCTGCCGCAGCAGCGACTCCAAATGCTCCACAGTGGCAGCATTCGCAGCACTGGGCCTCAGCAAACCTCCACCGCTCGCCCCACCATACCCCATCCCCACCGGTGTCCCCACCCCTCCCCCCATCCCCCCCCCCAGCGCCCCCATAGACGCACTGGCACCAAGCATCCCAAACCCCCCGCCCCCGCCGCCGCCGCTGCTGGTGCCGCCGATAATCGCCCCTGTGAGGAGGTCGGAGTGGGAGGAGGAGCCCCCAGGGAGCAGCGAGGCTGCGAGGATGCCCGACGCTGTTGCCTCTTCTATCGCGCTGCTGCCAGCGCTGCTGCTGCTGGGGACCCGACGCAGGGACTGGCGCACTACAAAGGGGTGGAGAAGGGTGGAGAGCGGTATAGAAGGGTTGGGGGGGAGGGAGCGGGAGGGAGGGAGCAGGAGGCAAGTTGTTTTGAGCAAGCAGGCAGAGATAATCGCCCCTGTGAGGAGGTCGGAGTGGGAGGAGGAGCCCCAGGGAGCAGCGAGGCTGCGAGGATGCCCGACGCTGTTGCCTCTTCTATCGCGCTGCTGCCTGCGCTGCTGCTGCTGGGGACCCGACGCAGGGACTGGCGCACTACAAAGGGGTGGAGAAGGGTGGAGAGCGGTATAGAAGGGTTGGGGGGGAGGGAGCGGGAGGGAGGGAGCAGGAGGCAAGTTGTTTTGAGCAAGCAGGCAGAGATAATCGCCCCTGTGAGGAGGTCGGAGTGGGAGGAGCCGCCCCCAGGGAGCAGCGAGGCTGCGAGGATGCCCGACGCTGTTGCCTCTTCTATCGCACTGCTGCCCGCACTGCTGCTGCTGGGGACCCGCCGCAGGGACTGGCGCACTGGATGGGAGAGAGGGGGTGAAGAGGGGTGAGGAGGGATGCACAAAGGTGTCGGAGAAACAAGGGGGATGCCCGAGGCTGTTGCCTCCTCGATGGAACTGCTGCCCGCACTGCTGCTGCTGGGGACTCGGCGCAGGGATTGCCGCACTGCACGGAATAGAGGGGTGGAAAGAGGTGGGGAGGAGTGAACAAGGGCGGATGCCCGAGGCTGTTGCCTCCTCGATGGCACTGCTGCCCGCACTGCTGCTGCTGGGGACCCGGAGGAGGGATTGACGCACTAGATAGAGAACGTGGAGTGGGTTCGATAGGGTTGGAGAGGGATGCCGGGAAGGGCTGCAGCATTGAGAAGCCGCTGCTCAAGAGCTGCGGGAACATACCTGGGGACTGACAGTTGGAACTGACCTGACAGCTCAGGGTAGGAGGAGCCTGCTGCTGCGTGTGCTGCCACTAGAGCCTTCTCCGCTGCAGCCCGCCCCTCTGAAAGACAAGACCGACCACTGTACCTTAGGGTCCAACCGACTGACCTGACAGCTCGGGATAGGAAGAGCCTGCTGCTGCGTGTGCTGCAACCAGTGCCTTCTCCGCTGCAGCCCTGCCCTCCGCCCGGATCTTCCTCTCGTGCTCAGCCATTGATGCCCGCTCGCTCTCCAGCTCCTGAGAGAAGAACAAGCACGGGCAGGAAGCGAACAAGCAGGGGAAGTGGGGAGATAGGTGAGTTTAATCGTCAAAGCCTTAGGTGTCTGAAGTGGTGAACATGCGCTTATTCACCTGCTCAAATTGAGATGAGTTTGAAGCTTTTCCAGCACCACTGTACTCACCTGTTCAACCAACTCCCTCCTCTGCCGCTCCTCCTGCACTTCCTTCCGCCATCTCCCCTTCACCTCCCTCATCTCCTCCTCCACCACTTTCACCCGCCCTTCCGTCCTCCCTTTCGTCTGCCCCCCTGATCCGTACATAAACCACTCTCAACACCACTGAACTCACCTGTTCAACTAACTCCCTCCTCTGCCGCTCCTCCTGCACCTCCTTCCGCCACCGCGCCTTCACCTCCCTCATCTCCTCCTCCACCACCTTCACCCGCCCTTCCGCTGCAACCTTCGCCTCCTGCGCACTCAGATACTCAGTCCTGTTCTCTGCTACCCTTACTCACTCACCTTCTTTTAAGGCGCCTCAAACTGCATACATAGATACTCCCTCCTGTTCTCTGCTACCCTTACTCACCCACCTTCTCAAAGTGAGGTGACTATCAAGTGGTTTTCAGCACCATTGAACTCACCTGCTCCACAAGCTCCCTCCTCTGCCGCTCCTCCTGCACCTCCTTCCGCCACCGCGCCTTCACCTCCCTCATCTCCTCCTCTACCACCTTCACCCGCCCTTCCACCTCACCCCCTGCTACCTGACTCAAACCACTCTAAACACCACTGAACTCACCTGCTCTACAAGCTCCCTCCTCTGTCGCTCCTCCTGCACCTCCTTCCGCCATCGCGCCTTCACCTCCCTCATCTCCTCCTCCACCACCTTCACCCGCCCTTCCGCCGCCACCTTCGCCTCCTGCGCACTCAGATACTCCGTCCTATTCTCCGCGGCCCGCTGGCGCTCCTTGTCGAGGGAGCGGGAGAGCTGGGAGTGCTCGGCGCGCAGGCAGGACAGCTGGGCTTCCATGACTGCCAGGCGGGACAGCGTTTGGTTCAGCCGCTCGCTCGTTACTCGCTCCCTCTCCTCCGCCACTGCCGCCTTCGCCTCTGCCTCCTGGAAGGGAGGGGAGGGGGGGTTTACGTGTGAAAGTGGGAGGGAAGAAGAGGCATGGCGTGAGGGGCGGTCAGATATTCTCTCAGGGTGGGAGGTGTGGAAGAGGGTGGAAATATGGGGCTTCTGAGGGGAGAGCCGTCACCCGCTCCCTCTCCTCCGCTACTGCTGCCTTCGCCTCTGCCTCCTGGAAGGTGGGAAAGGAGGTGTGGAAGTGAGGGGGAATATGGGGCTTCTGAGGGGAGAGCTGTCACCCGCTCCCTCTCCTCCGCCACTGCCGCCTTCGCCTCTGCCTCCTGGAAAGGGGGGGAGTCAGTGAAAGAGGGTGGGACAGTCTGAAAGCGAGGGAGAGCAGGTGCATCACCTCTATCTGCTGCAGCAGCAGGCGTTCATAAAATGGTGTTTTAGGCGCCTCAAAAAGCGCCTCTGTCTGCTGCAGCAGCAAGCGTTCATAGAATCACCCCGGAAACACAAGCACGTCCCACACCACAACCACACACGCACCTGCAGTCTGGCATTCAGCACCCTCTCCCCCCCTGAGAGGGCCTCCATGCGAGTGTTGGCCGACTCCTGCATCGCCTCTATCAGCCGCAGCAGGGGGCCTTCAAAGAGTCATGCACCCACAGGCAAACACATACATAACGCCCATACCACAGGAATCCCTTCACATCCATACCTGCAGCTGGGCATTGAGTGCCCGTTCCACCCCAGACAGTGCCTCCATGCGCGTGTTAGCAGACTCCTGCATCGCCTCCTTCTGCCGCAGTAGCGGCCTTTTACACAGTCACCTTGTCATCTCCAGGAGCACACACAGTCCTTCCCATCTGTACCTGCAGTCTGGCATTCAGCGCCCTCTCCACTCCTGACAGCGCCTCCATGCGCGTGTTGGCCGACTCCTGCATCGCCTCTATCTGCCGCAGCAGCGGGCGGGTCGACTCCGGTATCCGAGCCACCAGCTCCTCATGCCGAGCCTCCGCCGCCTGGCTCGGAAGAGCGGATGAAAAACGAAGGGAAAAAAAAAGAGGTTCGGAGAAAAGGCGGCGGGTTAGGAGTGGCAAAAAGGGTAAAGCAAGAGAAGACAGAAAGAAGTCGATAGAGTGTAAGGAAGGGGAAAAAACGGTTGAAGAAGACATGTGGAAATACGAGATTGTTTTCCACTCCTCACACCTCTTTTCTTCTCAGGCATCCACTCTCTAAACCCCGCTGCTTCCCGAGAGGTATTAGACTCACCTGACACCGCTTCTCCATATCCTCCAGATCCCTCCTCAGCATCTGCTCCCGAAACCCTGCTTGCTGCTCGCTGCGAGTGAGAGCCTGCCGGAGCTCCTCCAGTCATCACCAGCGCCCTCTCCCTCTCCCCCGCCTCCCTCAACTTCCTTTCCGCCTCTGCCTTTGCCTCCCAACTCACCTGACCAGCACTGGCGTTCCATATACCCACGGGCTGAGAATGGATGAGGGAGAGACGAGGATTCCACTCACCTGGCATCGCTTCTCCATATCCTCCAAGTCCCGCCGAAGCATCTGCTCCCGAAACCCTGCCTGCTGCTCGCTGCGAGTGAGAGCCTGCCGGAGCTCCTCCACAGTCATCACCAGCGCCCTCTCCCTCTCCCCCGCCTCCCTCAACTTCCTCTCCGCCTCTGCCTTTGCTTCGCTGTCCGCCCGCGCCTCTGCTGCAGCCTGCGCCTCCCGGGCAGCTGAAAGGGCAGAAACGTAGAAATCTTTTTGGGCGGCGAGATCAGCCTGCCCGCGTTCTACGGCGTCCTGAAGGGCCTTTTCAGTGGCTGCTTTGTCTTTCTTGATGCTCTCCACCCGAGCTTCTTCCACCTGAAGGCGATTTTGTAGCCGGGTCCTCTCTTCCTCCATCTCTCGGAGCTGAAAGAAGGGAGAGGAGAGGAAGAGAAAGGCAGCATATTAGAGAAAGGAAAAAAAGGGCTTCAAGAGAAACTTGTCTTTCTTGATGCTCTCCACTCGAGCTTCCTCCTCCATCTCACGAAGCTGAGAGGAGGGAGAAGGGTAGCAGAGCAAGGCAGAACAGGGATAGGAAGGAAATCTGTCTTTCTTTGTGCTGTCCACTCGAGCTTCTTCCACTTGCAACCTATTTTGTAGCCGGGTCCTCTCCTCCTCTATCTCCCGGAGCTGTAAAAGAAGAAGGGCAGAGCGAAGAAGAAGAAAAGGAAGAAGAACTCGCTTTCATGATGCTCCATCGAAGGGCCTTTGTGGCAGCTGCTTTCTCTTCCTTCAAGTTCTCCATTCGAGCCCCTACCATTGAGAGCCTAAATTATGACTGTATCTCATGCTCTTCCATCTCTAAAAGCTGTTAAACGGGAGAAGAGGAGAGAAGGGTTGGGAAAAGAGCGAGGAGGAGCATGCCTGGGAGGAAAACGAATCATCAAGTTGATATATGGTTGCAAAAGAGGAAGCAAATGGCGTTCAGAAAGGGCAAGAGAGAGGCCTGTTGCGCTTACCTGTTGAGCTCCTCAGCGCTTACCTGAGTGCGAAGCTTCTTCATGGCCCCTTCCTGTGCGGCCTGTTTCTTGGAAAGTTCCTCGCCTGCACAGTGACAGGAGGAGGAGCACACAGCAGTACACGCATGAAAATGAAAGAGATCGTACATGATGGGAGTGGGTGAGTGAGTGAGTGAGTGAGTGAGTGAGTGAGCGAGTGAGTGAGTGAGTGAGTGAGTGCACAGGCTACACTTTCACGAATTTTATATTCATACTTGTGTGAGAGAGAAGCACAGATGGTATGAGCGCATCGAGATGGTGTGGGTGGGAGTAAAAAGTCACTCACAAATTGAAATCACTTTTGAGAATTCTCAAAAAGGTTATTTCAATATGAGCACATCGAGATGGTGTGGGTAGAAGCAAAAAGTCACTCAGAAATTTCTGACCCATCTTCTCCTTCAGATGTGTCGATGTGTCAGCCTTCCGGCTCTGCACGCAACCAGAGGTGACTCAACATAACATCACAGTGACTCAAACATCACCCACCTTCTATCTCCTAACTCCCCACCCAGTACACCCACTTTCCGCCATGACCTGTCGTACGATCTCATCCTTCTCCTTCAGCACATGAACGCACAGCACCTCCACTGCCCGACCATCTCACTACTATCTCCCCAGTCCACCCACCTTCCGCCATGACCTGCCGAATGATCTCATCCTTCTCCTTCAGAAGCGTTGACGTGTCAGCCTTGCGGCTCTGCTCCCGCCGCAACATGTCCCGCTCCTTGGTCAGAGCGTACACCTATTGGGTGGTTATTGGGTGCACACATGTGTGTGCGGGGAAAAAGTGGGGCTTGTCAAATCAATGCCACTCGACCTTCCAACTCTGCTCCCGCCGCAGCATGTCCCGCTCCTTGGTCAGAGCGTACTCCTGAACGGAGAAAAGGTGGTTATTGGTTACATGGTAACTGGTTACACACGTGTGTGTGCGGAGAATTTGTGGGAGTTGCAAAACACCACTCAGTTGACGCATATGATACAATGCATTGCATCACGAGGGTTACATGGATAGACTGCTTTTGAGTCGACTCAAAAGCAATTACAATGCATTACATCACAAGGAGGATTACATGGATAGAAACAGAAGCTGCCCGGCCCAGCACCCACCTTTCTTTCAGCTGCCCCCAGTCGGTGCTGGTACTCCTCCCGTAGGGCTTCTAGTTCCGCGTCATTGTTCTTTTTTGCCTGCCCAAGTGAATAAGACCAGAAGCGAAGGTAGGGGGAAACAGACACAACAAAGGGGATGGGGTGCAATGCTTCTTTTATTAATATTAATAGTACTGGTAAGCGAAACGGTATGGAAGGGTGCGGAAGGTAGAAGGATATGTTAAGGGAACGGTGTGGGGGAAAGGAGGCGGAGGAGGAAAGGGCCATTCTCCGAGCCTATTCCGAATCTCACCTTCCAGTCCTCCAGTTCAGCCTGAAGCTCATCATTAACAGTCATTGCTCTCGCCAGTTCGTCCGCCTTGGTCTGAGCCTGCTTGCCCGCATTCCGCAGTGCGCTCTCCACTTCCTCTAGCTTGACTCACCAACTCTGCTTGAAGCTCGTTGGTAGTTAGTTTGACTCACCAACTCTGCTTGAAGCTCGTTGGTAGTTAGTTTGACTCACCAACTCTGCTTGAAGCTCGTTGGTAGTTAGTTTGACTCACCAACTCTGCTTGAAGCTCGTTGGTAGTTAGTTTGACTCACCAACTCTGCTTGAAGCTCGTCGTTGACAGTCCACTCTGCTTGCCCGCATTCTGCAGTCCTTGCATGCTGCAAACCACTTGCCCAGTCTCTCTCACCTTCTAATCTTCAAGCTCCGCCCGAAGTTCATCATTAACAGTCATCGCCCGGGCGAGTTCGTCCGCCTTGGTCTGTGCCTGCTTGCCCGCATTCTGCTTGCTCTCCATAGTGGCCAGTTCCATCTTCACTCTCACCACCACTCTCACCAGCGTAGCTGCTGTGCGTTTCTCATAACAACGAGCTCGCATTCACTCACCAGCAACTGCACACAGCAAACCACATTCCAATCCAGTGCTTCACCTACCATTCTCCCACTCTCACCTTCCAGTCCTCCAGTTCCGCCCGAAGCTCATCATTGACCGTCATCGCCCGGGCCAATTCATCTGCCTTGGTCTGAGCCTGCTTGCCCGCATGCTGCAGGGCGCTCTCCATGGTCGCCAGTTCCATCTTCACTCTCACCAACTCTCACTATCCCTCAGCTTCACTCTCACCTTCCAATCTTCAAGCTCAGCCCGAAGCTCGTCATTGACCGTCATCGCCCGGGCCAATTCATCTGCCTTGGTCTGTGCCTGCTTGCCCGCATGCTGCAGGGCGCTCTCCATGGTCGCCAGCTCCATCTTCACCCTCACTACTCTCACCACTCTCACCACTCTCTAGCATGACTCACCATGCTCACCTTCCAGTCCTCTAATTCAGCCCGAAGCTCGTCATTAAGTGTCATCGCCCGGGCCAATTCGTCTGCCTTTGTCTGTGCCTGCTTGCCCGCATGCTGCAGGGCGCTCTCCAAGGTCGCCAGCTCCATCTTCACCCTCACCAACTCCGCTTGGAGCTCGGACGAGAGAGCCTCTGCTACTGCTGCCGCTGCAGCTGATGACGCCTTTTCTGTCGACAGGGCTTCTGCTGCTTCTGCTGCTGCTGCTGCAGCTGCTGCTGATGACGCGCTTCCGGTAGACAAAGCTTCTGCAACCACTGCTGCAGCAGATGCTGCCGCTTCATTGGACGGACCTTCTTCTGCAGCAGCTGCTGCTGGTGTTTCAGCAGGCGCTGCTGCTGCTGCTGGTAATTCTGCTGCAGAATCACCTCCCACCGTCCCTGCCACTCCACCATCCACTAAGGCAACCGCGCCCGTTGTTGATTCCCCTGCTCCTGCACCTGCTGCGCCTTCCACAACCTCCCCATTAAACAGCCCAGCTGCCCCCTTCTCCACCCGACCCTCACCAGCAGAAACGGCCCCTCCCTCAGCCTCGCCGCTGCCCACAGCCCATCCATTCCCATCCGCAACAACTGCACCCACTTTTTCAAATCCTTCCATGTTCTCAACCCTAACTTCTTCCACAGCCGGGCTCACTAGGCCATTCCCAGCAGCAGCATGCCCTCCCTCCCCCCACGCTCCTTCCCCTCCCTCTTGAGCAGCTTCAGCAGCTGCCACAGCTTCAGAAGCTTCAGCAGCTTCTGCTTCAGAAGCTTCAGTAGCTTCGCCAGAAGCTGCGGCAGCTTCAGAAGCTTCAGCAGTGGCTGCAGCAGCAGACGCGAGTCTTTCTTCTGGCGGCACATCCGCCCCCTCCCCTGCATCTGCCTGCCCTGGATCTGCCTCCCCTGAGCCTGCCTCCCCCGACCCAGCCTTCCCTGCATGTCCCTCCCCTGCATCTGCCTCCCATCCGTCTGTCTCCTCTCCTTCGTCATTCTGCGTTACCACTTTCTCCTCCTCTGCCCCTGATTCCTGATTCAAAGACATCCTTCCCTCTTCGCTCGCCTGTGCATCAGCTTCAGAGCCCTCTTTTCCCCCTGCAATGGGAAAAACCGCTGCTGGAGAGGCATCAGAACCGCTCTCAGCTGCAAGCCCCTTTTCTGCAGCTGCTTCTTCACCTGCCGCTGCTTCGATTTCCGTAGCTGCCCGAGTACCATCCGCTTGAGGGCTAGCAGCAACAGGAACGAGGGGGGCAGTGGCGGCAGCTCCTGCGGGAGACGCAGGGAATGCAGAAGCAGAAGCATCACCGAATGGTGATCTGACTGGTGACTTGATCGGCGACCTGACTGGTGGTGACACAGAGGGTTTGATGGGGGATGGCGCAGGGGTACCCTCCCCATCCTCCTCTCCCTCCCCTTCCCCGTCGTCTATGCTGAAAACGGCCTCTGATGCTGCTTCGAACCCGCTGAACGGCAGAGGCGTGGACGACGCATTAGCTGCTGCTGCAGCAGCTGATGAACCATCATCACCTGCCCCAGTACCTGCCCCAGCACCAGCATCAACAGCAGTACTGTCCGCAGCACCAGCACCAGCACCAGCACCAGCACCAGCAGCCTCATCTCCTGCAGCATCCTCTGACTTCTTAAAGCCATCTTTCAATCCAGCATCTGTACCAGGAAATGATGCGTCTCCCCCGTTCGTTATAACGTCATCCTCTTCAATCACTGCAGCCCACCCCTCCCCTTCCTCTGCCTGATCTCCTCCCATCCCTGCAACAGCTCTGCCATCTGCCGAACCTGGTGTAGGTTTGGGCTCTTCCTCG